GGAGGGAAGGGGAGAGAGAGACCCATCGATCAGTTGTTGGGGCTCTAACCACTGAGCAACAGCGGCCGGGGCGAGTATCGCCTCCTCAGTGGAGCCAGCGGGGCCGCCCTGCTGAAGCGTGTGACCCGCCTGCTCCCGAGCCCCACGCCGGGGCCCACCCTCCGCTGCCCTAGCACAGCGTAGCTCCCTTCTCAGGTTGCTCGCCGTCTGTCTCCCGCAGGAGGGTACAGTCATGTGTCTTATTTTGTTTTGTTTTGGGGTTCACTTTGCGTTGGCTCCCTACTGTAACCTGGGCGCTCAGGCCTGCATCCACCTGTGAAGGGGGTGACGCCCTGTGTGTGCCAGGCTTGCTCCAGTTCGCGGTTTACAGAGACACGCAGAACTCACGAGATCCCTGCTCCTGTGGAGCTCGCGTCCCGGGGTGGATGCGCACACGCGTGCACAAGCACACACACGCTCAAGACAGCGATGGTGCTGTGCAGACAAGGAAACAGGTGAGGTGACAGTGACTGCCGTCTACACTGGGAGCTACGGAAACTCTTCCAGGGAGATGACATTTTATTTCAAGACTTAGGGAAAAGCCCTGGCCAGGTAGCTCAGGTGGTTAGAGCGTTGTCCTGCCAAGGTGACAGGTTTGACCCCTGGTCAGGGCACATATGGGAAGCAACCAATGAACACATAAATAAGTGGAGCACAAATCCATGTTTCTCTCTCTCAAACCAATAAATGAAAATTTAAAAAGACAGGGAAAAGACTATAATATATGCATATTATAGTACAATCGTAAAAGCATTTTAAATTTTTTAAAAAGCATTTCCTTAGCACTGAGGAAGGCGCGGAATAGTCTAGACCAAGTGGGTGGCATGTGCTGACGGCAGGACCAAGGACAAGTTCAGCAAACGGGGCCGAACGGTGTTCTGAAGGCCGTGGGAGAGGACAAGACGGCCTCGCCCGGCTGGCAAAGGGCGGGGCCTGCCCGTACCCACCCCTCCCCAGGTCTGGGGAAGGGGCTGGATGCTCGGTAGTTTCACTGCTGATCGTTAAGTGGAGGGTAAATTCTATCTCCTGAGAATTTCCAGCTTTGACGATCGAAATCTCAAGAGGCACTAATGCCCAATTGTATTTTTTTTTGTTAAGACAGTGACTCACTTGTGTAATGAGATTTAATTTTGCTGGCACTGGCAAAAATCTTCCTACTAAAGCAGTCATTGGCTTAGGGGCATCTGTAAGGAAGACAATTAAAATTAATTGATACCACGTATTGCTTTTCTTCGCTTGCAGGTGGAAGAAAGTACACACGTGAAAGTACCATGGACCTACGTGCAAAGTCATTTAAACGTATCTCGTCCTACCCGTTCCCTATTCTATGAAGCCCTTCAGGTCAATGCATTTTTCACTGACTACACCCTTTCTCTTTGCCGTGCAGCCGCTCAGCCGGAGCTCGGGAGAGCCTGCCCCCCGCGGCGCAGGGAGCGCAGCGACGCCTGTCGGCCGCCAGGAGAACTGCCTCCAGTCACGCGCCTCGGCTCCGCCGGCGCCGGGACCCGCGGTCAGGACGGAACCGCCCGTCCGGCCGCTGAGACCGGACACGTCAGCGCGAGCGGGGTCGGAGTTTCCCCGGCTGAGGGCGCAGTGGAACCGTCCCCGGGACACCAGGGGCCGTGACCCTCGCGGAAGGAGAGGGGCGGCCTCGTCCCGAGCGCCCCCCGCCGAGCGCTCCCCCGCGGGCTCGCGAGGCCCGAGCGATGCCCCTGAGCCGTAGGTCAGGGTGTGGTTATTTCATGGTGGGACTTAGTATGTTTATAGAGGGGGCTGGGCCAGGGGACTAGGGTTACAGGGCAAGGAAACGGACTTGGGGAGCGGATTCCAGCCCTCTCCTGCCCGTC